ACACACACACACACACACACACACACCTACTAAAAAGTAACCAGAAGATACACCAACACTGTCTGGTTTTGTCATTTTGTTTTTGCTCTCCTCTGTCTATAATAACCAAAGATTTCATGAACAAGATAAATATTGAATTTACATTATGGCGTCACAGTTCTGCCATATTACATCTAAAACTGATTCACTTTTGGAGTAAACATGATTCATAGTTTCTGTCACAGCCAGCTGAATTAGAAAAAAACAGAAATAGCTTCCACTGTCAGTTRATGTGGAGTAGCTGAGACTGAACCCCATGTTACTCTGATTACTAACAGACCAGAAGAGATCTATGCTGTCAATTATTATTTGGAGTCAACTCTGTCTGTTAGCAAAATATTTCATGAACACACTGGATGTATTTTATTGAAACCTCCAGAAGTGTGTCGTAGTAGCTGAGAGTCTTCTTTTGTATTGAGGTATATGAAGTCATCCTATAGAATTGTGTTTCAGTCAAGCAGTTGTTTGTTCTTAAATTAACGACTCAGCAATTCCTTTTAAGGATGGGAAGAATGAGCTCATCCTTGGCTCATTTGTTAAAAACAGCTTTCAGTGGTAAACATGTTTGTGTGTCTTAAAATACATTTCAGGAGCAAAGTCCTTTACCATAGAAGGAATGCATAGTTTGATCCTGCCTTGTTTACTTGTGGGTGTTGTAGAAGGTTATAAGAAAGGATGACCCAGTTCTGGGGAGTACTTCACTCAATTGGCCAGAAGTCTCTTGATTTGGTTCAGGCTGTTATTCTGAATAAACCTCACTGTTCAAGAATAACTTTTGCCTTCAGAGGCATTTCTTTAAAGCGCTCCATCACTGCTGAGAGATTGAAGACACAGAAGAACGGTCATCATCAAAACACACTTCAGTACATAGTTTGTTTTTTGTTTTTTAATTAAACTAATTGTTTTTTTATAGAAAATAAAATAAAAATAAAAAGATTTAACACTTGTCCTGACACAGATGCACAATAAAGAAAATGGAAACTACATATAAATTATCCAAATCAAGGTACATTTACATTTGGACAAATCACAACCGTCCCATCATGGAGAGTCTGTATTAGGCCAAGAGTGCTCCTTCTCTGAAGCAGGAGCTTAAAAATACCCAATAAATGTTGTAAAAAGAGTGAACAGCCACGTATAGTTCTCAGTTCTTCGAAACCTTTCCTCTAAAAACTTCATTTAGATCATCCTAAAACATTAAAAAATACGAAATATATTTTTTATATACAGGGGGTAAAATAAGTATTGAACACGTCACCATTTTTCTCAGTAAATATATTACTAGAGGTGCTAATGACATGAAATTTTCACCAGATGTCGGTAAC